AGAGAGAGAGAGAGAGAGAGAGAGAGAGAGAATTAGGATGGAAAAATACGATAAAAAGAGAAAGGTAGACATAAGCAAAAACCTATTATACTTTTAAACTCTTTCCCATCCTGTGCACATTTAATTGTGTTGCAAAGATGAAAATTTGCTTAAGAAAATAATATACACACCATTGTATGGGAAGTCCAAATCATATCCCACAAGTATCAATATGGCGTCATAGCTAATCACTGGTGTTGATATAAACCTCGTATCAGTAGCGACTTGTTTATTACTTTGTACAAACACAAATAAACAAAGCCAGGATGATAATCAATGTCACTGTTTACCTGACCCTGGTCTGCTCTGGGGTCTTTGTGTATATGAAGAGAGTTACACTACTGTTAATCTATCAACTGGTTTGTAGAGCAAGCAATTAAAAATGGGGGTCGAACCGTCTGAACCCCCCCCCCCCCCCCCCCTTTGACAATGAGCCTGGACAATGTATTTTATTGATTTCGTTTAACAGCTCATCTAGGTTTGAAACGATTTTCTAGTCCTCATTCCTTAGCGTAGCAAGACTAAGGTTAAAAGCTAGATGTGTGTGTGCGTGCGTGTATGTGTGTTCAATAAACAACTTCATATTTTTTATTGGTTTCATTTAAATTTACTTGCCTAATATCTTTTTTATTTAAGTACAATTACGAAGTTCTCTTTCGTAGTTTCCTGCTAAATGTAGAAATAGAAATAATAGTTTATCATTTTGATTGTTTATCCAGGAGTGAAAAAACGCGCAGCATACACCACGTATATTATCTTGTTTTATGTATCCGATCTAACAGGAAATATAAAAACTACACAACGGAGAAACTGTTAGCATTGGTATGATTCAATCAACGAGCTTGTGGTAAATCTAGAAAACAACTTAAATGTCAGGCCCACGCCACATTTGTTATAAATTTTGTCGTGCAATAAGCTGTCTATAAATATTCCAATATAGCTGTGAATGGAAGTGAAAAACGTACTGCCGTTTTCCATGAGATTTATCCAGCTAATTTGATATCTTCAATGAAATTCTTTAGTGAGATGTCACAGCTGCAGTAGTTTGGCTCTATACACATGTGGTTCTTCAAATTCTTCTAGTCTACAATTGCTCTATTGGAATGACGGACTGATCTAGGACTGGCTTTACAATCAAAATTTATCAGGGAAATTAGTCCTAACTTTTAGACCAAAACTTGAAGTCTTCTTGGACCCTAGACGTCCAACTAAATGGATCATTGCGCATGCTTAAAACAAGAAAAATGTTTACTATTTTGATCGACAATTCTTCTGTTTTAGAGCACAAATAACATCCTCATTCTGAATTAAAGTGGACCAAATTTCGGCCTAAAATGACTCGAGTGAACAAAGCTTGAACTGCCGGCAAACCAATCCCCAATCCTTCCCCCAAAACCGAACAGGTCCCACGCAGCTCTTTTTCGCGACAGCTCGCGCTCTCCCTGCAGACGCTGTTCGTTATTTCGTTTATCTCGGCTTTACCTCCAAACGCAAACCAGATTTATAGAGCCTGTTAAAACACAGAAGTTCCAGATTAGTGCTTGATTCGGGATTTACTGAGGAGCCAACAAAATGAAAGAGATTTAATAATTTGGTAACCGTC